GAAACAATCAATTGACTCACTGACGTCATTTGAACAGAGGCGTGTTCAGCAGGTATGATATCTACGGCTCTCAGGGACAAGGATTTCAAGGGACATGATGAATGAAGACGAAGTAGTTTGACTGCTGTTGCGTTCAAGAGTAAGCTTCCAGCTTGAAGATAATGGACCTCGTCTACATATCCCAGTGCAGCGTTAGCTCCCCTGGATTTTTAGAGTGCTTTCATGGGACACTCAAACATATACCACACACTTCGAAACAAACATCACATTGGCAGCATTTTAATTGGCCAATACAGATATGCACCATAAAAGACCCATGCATTACTACATCATCTTATTATTTCTTATCAAGTTCTTTCCTGTTGCCTAAAAGAGGTATTGTATAGGTAGCTAGTCTCTTTTTACCCCACGAGGAAAATCCTAAGTCACCACTATTAGAAGATAATAATAAATATTAACTATGATACTCAGTAGCATAGCGTCTGTAAATAATACCTTGGAAATTTGCAATAAATCATATAAAGATAACATGTGGTTTTACTATTTAGGATTTTCAGGGTTAAACTCGGAGTTCGTGGGCGGTGAGTGACCCCTACATAGGTAGGTAGTGAGCAGGATCACTGGTTGTTACAACGGCGTATCGGTCACCTGACCTTCTTGATCCTTCGAAGCGTGGCCATTTTAATCACCAATTCGTAGCGAGCTGAGCCATTTTAGGGCAGCACATCTCTTGCTCGCCAGTCAGTTGGAGTGTTTAGTGTGACCCCCACCTTGCGATTTTGACTTCAGTAAGTATGCGATAACTAGACCAATACGGAAAAAGTGAGACTAACTCCTTTGCCAGTCCTAAACCTCCCATCTTATTCTGGACGACTCATCCGAGAATATTTCTTTCACCCACACTGTCCGTATTTTCAAATGTGTATTTAATGAAGGCGAAGTCCATATGAAACTAACTCCACATGCCAAGCAGCAGCTTCCAACATGCTCTCAATCGACGAAACCCGGGCCCTCAGTGAGGTGCACCCCGAATTCGAACCAGTGAGTGGGACATTATCCACGTATTCAGAACATGTTTTTATGTGAGATGAGAATGAATGGTTTGCTAAAACATACCAAGATTATCAAGTCTGAGAACCCCAGACTGGGTTCGTGGTCTATGGAGACCGACATCCACCAAATCCGCGATATGATGGATTGGATGCGAGAGACAAAGCCCAAGCCTGACCCAAAATCACTTTCTTATGTTACCGAAGAGCTCAAAATCCCACTTCGGGACGGCTTCGAGGTTGATGCCCGAGTGTACAAGCCCAGAGACGTCCCTGCTGACGGATGCCCTGGATTTGTAGTCTTCCACGGAGGTGGTTACATGGTTGGTGATCTAGAAACAGAGGCATATCTTTGCGCCCTCTTCACTAGTTTGGGTGGAATTGCGGTGAACATTAACTATCGGCATGCACCAGAGCATGTCTTCCCTCAAGCCATACATGATGCTTTCGATGCCACCAAATGGGTAAGTTCACTTGTCAGTGTGCCAAGACACATCAGTGTTGACAAGTAGCAGACGGCCAAAAATGCAGAGAGTCTAGGCATCAATCCCAAGAAGGGATTCCTCATCGGCGGTGAAAGCTCTGGGGCAGATATCGCTCTGGTTGTATCTCACCTTTGCCGTGATGAGGATATGTCACCATCTCTAACTGGCGTCTTCGCCCCGATCCCCTCTGGAGTCAGCGAGTCCACGGTTCCTGAACGGTACAAAGACCACTTCTTCAGCAAGGAGCAAAATTCCAATGCGCCCATGCTCTCTGTTGAAGCCCTCGATTTTATTTATTGTACGATCAACACCTCAACGAGACCCCATCTTCGCTGGAGGCTAACGTCGCAGCAGCAAAGTATCAACCCGACGAGAAAAGCCCGCTGGCCTTTCCCGTTTTATTCCCCGATCATGGAGGCATCCCCAAGACATACTTTCAGGTTTGCGGGCTCGATCCCTTGAGGGATTGTGGACTGGTGATGGAACAGGTGTACCGGGACGATGGAGTTCCCACGAAACTAGATGTGTACCCGGGTTTGCCCCATGCCTTCTGGGTACTCTTCCCCGACTTGGAGGTGAGCCAAAAGCACACATCAGACACCACTGACGGTCTTACGTGGCTATTGGCTGAATGAAGTACATTGATTGGAGTCTGGGGGAGGAGATCCTCCGGGATTGACCAGGTCGATCTCGATTGGCAGCCGTCACATGTCGGCGAACCATTTCATGCTTGCATCGGCCTTCTGCAGGTTATCGAACCAGTCCATCTCAATCATTTTTCGTAATGCGACGCGTATTGTTGGTGCAAGGCAGCATTAAGTGACGTAGACCTGGGACCTGTGTAAGTGTGGATGACTGTGTCACCGCTCAGACGCAAATCCAAGCAGATGATGCCCAAAAGTGCATGGGTTTCCAGATAGTATTGGTTTAGACCATGGCAACTTTCCATGCATTCCAGGGCCAGCTTGTCGTCGCCGGAAGTACGAGCAGCTCCGAGGGCGACGATGGCAAGCCGCGCGGAGCTTGGTGCTTTGGCGAGCGAATGTGGCGATAGCCGCGAAGTGTGACTCAGCACCCCTTGCGCTCCGTCTTGGAGGCCGTAGCACGGGCCGGAGTTGTGGATATCCTCCATACTCTTGACAAGGCAAACAGGAACAAAACGCAACAGACCGAGCCATCTTTGCCGCCGGTCAATCGAGATCACCGAGGCCGAGTTGCACTGTGGCGACTCTTGACGGGTCGTCTCCGAGCCAGAGTCATCCGCCCGTTGATTGGCTGTTCCCGGCTCCTCGGGACCGATCAGCTAGCGATGTCTGGGGCGCTCAAGACACTCGCAACCAAATCTGGCGTCTGGGAGGGAGGACGCGCGGCAACTGTCCAGCCCGGCGCGGCGACCCGGCCACTTTGGGGAGCATTTCCTGGTGTCTGCTTGACGCCTGCGGATCTGCAAGACGGTCTCCGAGTGGTTCGGCGATGCTCTGGATGGTTCGACTCAGTGACCCCAGGCCAGCCCTACTGCCTAGATTCGTTACGTGTGTCTGTTTGCCTCCTCGGTCTCGGGCATGTCGAGCATTCAACCTGTGTGGTGTTGACGTCCAGAGGAAGTATATAAGAGGCTTGCGTCCATCTCCATTACCGTCTCGATTTCTCATCTCCATCTCCTCTTCATCTAACAGATCAAGACCTCCGAGATTCACTCCTCCTTATAATTCACTACCAACCCCAACACTACTACTACTACACGAGCAAGTGCTTCATCATGAGTCCGCAACAGCAATCTTACTCTATGCCCTTCTGGGACTTCATCCAGTCGCTGGATCCCAACCACGGCCCCGGCCGCGGCGTTGATTACAGTGCCCCTCCTCCTTTCCCTCCCTTTGGCGGGCCTGGCCAGCACGGCGCCCATCCTCCTCCTCCCGGACCTCACGGAGCTCATCCTCCTCCTCCGCCCCACGGCCCCGGCGCCGAATGGGGCCCTTGGTTCCACGGGCCCGTGCCCCACCATTGGGACCATCATGGCCGCCGAGGCCGTCGCGGCCATCATCATCGCGGCGGCATGAACGAAGGTGAGCCTAGCGGTGACGACGGCTGGAACTCAGCCTCCGATACCGAACGCGATGTCGACCAGGAAAAGCGTGATTCTCCCGATACCATGCCCATTGATGTCCCTGACCCTGCTGAGGTCGCTCCCGAAGATGACCAGACCCCTCCTTCCCACCCGCACTTCCGAGGCCATGGCGGCCGCCGAGGTGGTGGTCGTTGCGGTCGCGGTGGACGCGGAGGTCCTGGAGGACGTGGCGGACGTGGAGGACGTGGTGGCTTCGGTTTCGGTGGCTTCTTCCCCGGAGGCGGCCCCGGCCCTCACCGTGGCTCCCGTCACTTCCACGGTCCTCACCCTCCCCCTCCTCCTTACTCAGGCCAGGGTTTCCCCTTCGATTTCGGTGGCTACATGCGCGGCTGGGCCAACCACCCGCTGTTCCAGAACATCCGTGAGCATGCCCAGCGCTTCCAAGAGGCGCAGTCTGGCAATGGTAACGAAACCGACAACTCCTTCACTCCCCCCGTCGACATCTTCGACACCGAGCGAGCCTTCATCCTCCACGTCGCCCTCCCGGGAGCCAAGAAGGAGGACATTGGTGTCAACTGGGACGCCGACCGCAGCGTCCTGAACATTGCTGGTGTAGTCCACCGCCCTGGTGACGAGGAGTTCCTCAGCACCTTGACCTCCAGTGAGAGGAAGGTGGGCATGTTTGAGCGTAACGTGACGCTCCCCCCTCCCGGCTCCGATGAGCGCGATGAGGTTGATGGCCTTGGAATCACTGCCAAGATGGAAGACGGCGTTCTTATCATCACGGTGGCCAAGGTCGAGAAGGAATGGACCGAGATCCGAAAGGTGGATATCGAATAGATGGTCACATCCATCTGGACTATATAGTTTTTCTTTGTTTTCGTTTACGGTAAGGTAATTGCGGGATACATAGCTGAGATTTGATATAAAAAAACGAGTATAATATGATTTGGTATTTGTGGTGGACCCTTCTTGCTTGCCTGCCTGTGAATGACGCTGTGGTTTCTCTCCTTCGCTTGTTGACTTGATGAGCCCAAAGCCATTTTTGTTGTTTATAATATGAATTCCCATTGTTAAACCCTCGTCTTCCAACTCATATAATCCCAAGAGCTTTTACATTCTTTCTTATTATCTCCAAATGAGAGGTTAAGAATTAGTTCAAGTATAGGTAAATCGTAGGGAAAATTGCTTTAAGTGATATAGGTTCTAAGAGATAGTTAGTTCGAGCGAGGTAGGTCCGAAGGGATAATTGAAATGGCAAAAAAAAACAGATACAAGAGAGATCTGAGGTCTCTTTGGAACTGTAAAGACGCCAGTGCCTCCCAGGGGCATGGTTTCCTTCAGGTCCGCTCTAGATGTATAGCGTAGATTACCACGCTCGTTCCTTCAGAAATCACTCCCCGAGTAGCTCAGCTGGAAGAGCGTTCGGCTGTAACTGCCACCTTCGTTACCGAAAGGTCACCTGTTCGAGCCAGGTCTCGGGGATCAACCATTCTTTTTGCATCTGAGGCAACATTCGTATCTTTTTGAGTGCCCTTACTATTTTTGCCTCCTGCTACGAATTTGGTTGATTGAAATATTCTATTTTAAGTGGTATTGATTGTCTTAGACTTTTGACCATTTCAACTTAACCCCCACGCGTCTCACTTCGGTGGGTAACATCCATCAAAAGTCAATTCAGCATTTGTACAGCACTCTCAGGGGAAGCAAAAATGTATTCATAAAAAGAATTATTCTATACGTGACATGAAATATTCAAGGAGAATCGGTGTGCGTGTTCAGACTGCATCAGTCGAACCAAACTCGTCTGCGCCTAAGGCCTATGCTAAGGGTATATGCTAGAATGTAGATTGATCAGGGGGCCGAGGCCACATGCCCTCGTGTTCCCAACTGGTGGTGATAACAAAAATGCTGTAAGTGTTTTATAATAGGGCTGCGCGGTTTCCTCATTCAATCTGTAAGTCAATCCATCTCCTCCAAAAACAGAAAACTCCGGGTATCCGAACGTCAGTCATCATCAAGGCGAGGGGGGGAGAATCCGGCACAGAGAAGCCGCTCTCCTCGAAAGAGGCATTGTGGGTGACTTCACTTCTCCAGTTCTCTGGTGATCTCCTCGCGCACGTCGCGACACCATTTGAGGAGGGCCGCCTCGAAGTCGATCCAAGCCTGGGGGCCGCTGTTGTAGACGATTCCGAGGGCATCAACAGTGAGAAAAACCTCGAATCGCAACTCGGCTGCCTTGGCCCAGTAGCGCAGGTTGTCGGCGGACCGGTAGGGCTTCTGGGTGTCGGTGTGGAAAGTCGGGATGGTACCGAAACGCCGTCGTGACTTCTTGACCACCGCATTATGAAGCTTCACTAGACGCAGACCATTCTGGAAGGTCTGGAGAAATGGTGTCGGAATCTCAGCCGCCTCGGAAACCGGAGTCCACTCGGGAAGCGGTTCGGCATCCCGGTCCATTGACGTGAGGAATGCCCGTTCACGCTCCAGCTCTCGGCCGGTCCAGTCGCCGTGCAGCCATTCCCAAGTCTCTCTCTCCACACTCTCTGCGTCCTCGATCTCCTGCTCTTGTTTCAGGATGCCGAAGACGCTCTCAATCCAGGAGACCATTGTCTTGATCTCTTCTTCCTTCATACCGTCTTTAAAATTACGCGTCGCCATCTGCTTCAGAACCTCCATGACAGCCAAAAGATCAGCTCGGATCTGTTTCTCAGGTTTGATCGCGTCCAGTCGGTCGGGAAGGTCATGCGCCGTGTAGTAAATCTTGGCTGCCCGGATGGCAAGGGTGACAACATCGAGGATATTCATACCCTGGAGTTCAAACCATCCTTGGGTGTTTGCCTCGGGCATGTTGGGGAATCGAGGAGTCTCCGAGGGCTGATAGGTGCCCTCCTTCCGCTGCTTGGCTTCACCCAACGCGGCAGATGCATCGTGCAGGCATTGCTCAAGTTCTGCCTTGAGTTCCATCATGGATGGTGGCTTGACAATTGGCTTTTCCCTGTGGTGGTATGTGCTCACGGTAGGAGGCAGCATGCTGGAATCCGTCTCTGGAAAGTCGTCGTAATAATCATTCATGTCGTCGACGGGGGATTCCACGATGCCGCCGACCCCGAATCCTTGGGCGCCGAAGTCAGGGCTGCTCCCCGTAGAGGCATAGGTGGAGTCGTAGTCAGAGCCGACGATCTTTGGGGTGGCACCAGAAGTGTCCAAAGCAGAGAGATCCAAGGCGCCCCTCTGCTTCTGCTTCTTGCGAGCCAACTGTCCACCCTTGCCATCAAGCAGGCCAGTCCGAGCAAAGTAGTACTGCAAATGTGCAATACTTCCGAGGCTCATGACGCTCTCACGCGACCGGGCACTGGCAGCGAAGTCAGTACCCTGGGGCCGCATGTATCCACGGCGGCGGGTTCTGCCATCGAGGCTATAACTAGAGTGGCGAGGGTTGGGCGGGATCTCAACGCGACGAGACGGAAAGGTGGCCGAGGAGTGGCGGTGGAGGGCCTGACTGCCCAGGGAGTCGCGAGACGTGGCATCATTGCTGGAGCCGTGAGACCAGGACGAGGTGGTTGAGACACAGCGAGAGAGCTCAGGACAGGCCCCGATGGCGGGAGTAGGGAGCGTGTCCGGAGGAGGCGAGTCACATCGGAAGGAGGGCGGCTCGTTGGGAGTAGCCATGATGGAATCGGTCATGTCCTCGTCTCGTCGAAGCGTTGCCTAGACACGGCGGGTTCTTGCTGGCTTTGTGACCCCTCGGTGATGCGGTGCGGTGCGGTGCGGTACACAACGGTGCGGATCTGGCGGCGGCGGAGTGGTGATGCGTCGTCGCCAGTTGTGGGACGCGGCACTTACACGGAAACAGGCGACGATCAAGTGAACTTGGCGGGACGATCAAGCTGCGCAGTACCGAGTAGCGACAGCGGTTTCGATTTCGATTTCGATTGTGAGCGAGAGTGGGTAGCAAGGAACAACGGCGGCAGAAGTTCGATCCAGGGAACGGCGGGCTTGGAAGTGCGAGGCAGAAGGGCGATCGAAGGGGCAGTCGGGATTAATTCCAGGGGTTTCGTGATGGGGCGACGGTTTGGCTTTAGGCCGGTCGGCGCGCTGGGAGGCGGATTGGTGGACTGGCGGATTGGTTGGCGGGACAGGCCGACAAGGGCCCCCGTAGGAAATTGCGTCGGCGCGTCCTTCTTCTGGCGGGGGTCGACGCGTGAGACCCCGGCACGACAATTACCAATTACCAATTACCCAGTTCAAGTTTAACGTGATGCTAATTAGTGCACAATGGGTTGGGGTTGGTGGCAAAGGTAAGATGTTGTTCCGGAGACTGTCGAGTGTTTTTGGGGTTGGATGCCGGAGCAATAGGTTGAAAGAAAGTAGGTAGATGTGATGCAGACAAAACGAGACGTAAAGAAGAAAAATAAGGGGCGAGGATGGATGACAATTATGCTTGCTCACTAAAACAAAGGAAGAAACAGAGATGAGGCAAAAGGACAGGCAGTCCGCGTGTGGAGCTGACAGCCAAGGGTGGAGATGTAGTCGAAGAACAAGAGAGAACACGAATGGATGGATGACAGCAATCGCTCTGCCAGAAACTGCCAGGGCCGGACAATGGACACCTTTATTACGGAGTACTACGCAGTACGACCATGGCGTTCGTCACAATGGATGAGGCGCGGGCTATCTGCTGCCGTGGGTCGTCGGTGTCATATCCCAGGGCAACCTCTTTGGCGGGTTGCTCTCTAATTTCCTCCAGATTGATTGGAATTCCCTTCCGCTTCCCTCTCCCGCCCGCCAGATCCCCCCTACAGGGCTGTTCATGGCTACCTCTTAGTGCAGCCATAAGGCTAAGACCGGGACCTGCAGGCCGCCTCTATCTCTGTTCCCTCCGGTTGCCATGGACTGCCATCAATTGCCGGCAGCCGTGGCCGATAAGTTATTTGGTGTTTGAACCCCAGGTACTGAGACCTGCTCCCCTCGATCGAGCCAGATTGTCAATTGCCCTACATAGCCAACGTCCTGGCTCCGCTACTCTTCGGCGTTACCGTGCTGGTAGTTGCAGCTTTACCCACTGCTACCCGTCCGTCAGTCAATTGAGGACCATCCGCATCGCTATCAGCCTCAACCTGTCCCCCGGATCTGAGCAAGGCCTAGCTGGAATTCCTCAGCCCGTTGGCTGGGGACTGGGGAGCGACCGGGTTCGAGAACATGGCGTAGAGGGACTACGCATCCCGTATATGCGTACTGCAAGTAAGCCGGTTCATCATCGAGCCAATCTGCCGACCGTGTGATCCAGGCGGCATTCTTTATTCTGGCAGGTATAATACACATCAGATATATCACCTCGGCAAGGTTGCCGCTAAAGATTCGGGGGTTGCAGGTGATCGATGCGTTAGTCTATTCATCTTGCACGCTCCGTCTCGACGTGCATGAGATGCATGCGTTCTGCGAGACACGACATGGCCAACACCACAGAGTGCCTGGTTCCCTATTCCAAAGACGCCCACATGTTACGCTTCTCCTACCAACACTCGTTATGCATTGTCTGTTCACCTGCTACGTACCTCTTGGGGGTTTGCTGGAGTCAAGCGATCTAATTATGCGTGTGCACGCACAGCAGCCGAGCACCCGGCATACATCATCATGACTGCGTACCGCCCGTGCATATTACAACATCCACCCGACCAGTGTCTAATTGAGACGTGCCGGGCAACTTTGCTTCTGTCCGCGGCCCCATGACACCTCTAGAAGCCCCAATAGCTTCAGAAACCGACCCCGCCAGGCCAGGACAGGGCCCCGGGGTGAAGAGCAAATGCGATTTTCCATCCGCCCCCCTAGCAACTAGCAACTAGGCTCTGTGATGTCGCCGTCGCTTTCATCTGGACGAAGCTGTGCCCCCTTGCTCCCCCGCCCATAAAAAGATTCTCGAAATCACGTCGAGCAACGGCGATGTCAGGGCCCCTAGTCGCCGTCCGGGGTGTCGTTGAGCAATTACATACATACGAAGTACTGGATACTACATCCGAGTAGACGCATCCATGTGGAGCTGTAGGTAGACGGGACCTCCCGGGACGGCTCCGGTCTTCTTAGCTGCAATCTCTCCAACAAGTCCCCATGTCCAACGTCCCCTGCCTGCATTGGCCTCCGAGTCGATGCCGGGAGCTTCCCTGGTGATGCGCGTGTGCGTGTTTGGGGGAGTGTTCCAACTAGTATCAATTATCCCGCTGCGCATGTTTCCCAATTCTGGTATTATTCTCCGAGACGCGACTGACTGTCGGGTGACTGACATGCTTGAGACAAGGAAGATGGGCAGCGTGGAACTCTCGCGAGGAGAGACGAGGCGAAGGTTCGGCGACTCGACGCCGTCAAAGGCCTTGTTGCCCGGACAGAGCCAAACTAGTCGCAGCAGGCGGATGACAATCACTTGATGTAGATTGAAGCCGGCTTGGCTGGCGGGCAGGGGGGGGTAGAAAGAGTCTGGCAGGGGGAGG